TATAGATAATGTATTCTATACACATTGCCAATGTATTATAGAAACAACAATACCCTGCAACTTTGTATCCACTGTTATTATCAGAGTTCTTCAATCGCCACATGCAGCCTTCCAACTTAGTTCAAATACCTTTATAGTGTGTTTGGATTAAGTAAAATTTAGACTTAAACCAAATTCTTCATTTGGATATATAAAAATTATATTTATGAATTTAGATTTGGTTTAAATTCAAATCCATTTCAAATTATAATTATTTTGTAATTTCAAATTCCATTTGCACCATAATAATTTGAAATTCTAATCACTTCAAACATCTTATTCTTTTCATGTTTTTACTATTAATAACTCTATAACGCTCATATCTTTTTTCATCTTTTGTTGATTAAAAATAAAAATAAACTCATTATTTCTTATTTTTTATTTTTGTTTGGAATCTCAATTTATCTCTCTTCTTCATTTGAAACTTTTTAACCTACCCAAACAAAGGATTTTAAATGTATAGATTTCAAATGTGATATTTTAAATATATCATACAAAATAATGGCATAAAGATATTTTCTGGTTGTTAAAAATTATTTATGACACATGATATAAATTATAACGTATAATGTTTAACAAATTTAGTAATTAAATTATTGCAAATTTATTCCACCAAGTAAATTAATAAAAAATGATTTATTAGTGCAGTGCGTCTACAAATACAAAGGGTGGAAATAAAAACACATGTTCAACTTCTACATGATTCTTTTAGCATTTGAATGTCTAAATTACACGAGGGATACATAAAATAACATAGATTAAAAATATACTGCAAAGCTTGAACCATGAAAAGAATTTAACGAATTGAAAAATATTGGTGGAGATTACTATTATGGTATGACATTGTTTTTATATAAATTAATTACATATATAATAAATATATTAATTTCTGATAAAAAAATTTCTGTTTGTTAGAATTTATCATTGGATTTTTTTTATTATTAATACCATACAAATAATAAGAAATTAAACTTTAATTTCATGATAAACAATATTGTTATTTGTTACATTATTATAGGAAGTACTTTTTATGCCAGTTATTTTACACTTTTCATGTCAGCTTAGAGAGAAGTCAAAAATTCCGTCACCACATCAATTGAAAAACTAATGTGGAAAGTCACTTTCTATGTCGGTTTGTTGTTTTCACTGTTGCAATAATTTAATTAATTATAAAACTACCCTAATATTCCTCATATCTTGCAAGAGATTTTGAAGGAATTGGGAGTGGAAAATAGAGTAGAAGTGAGGTTTAAAAATATTAATGGTATGTCCATGAACATTTGTTATAATCTTTCATTGATATATGTGTTTATAACATGAAAATAAACAAATGTCCTTAAAAAAATTATTCTCTCCGCCAAAAACATCTACCTGCAGAGCCACACCATGGTAATAATAAACAAAACAACCCCCACCGCCGGAAGCAGTTGGAACCCTAAACGATGAAGCAATTCAAAACCATGAAATCTGAAGTTGTAATACATGAATACAGAAAAATTGCCCTACTTAAAAATATAGTATGCCCAACATTCCTAAAAAATAAATACAAGAATAAAATTGAACTTTAAACCTTAAAATAATAAAAAATGATTAAGAATTCGAGTTCCACTACTTTTAGGCTTCAACATATGCTTAAACACTTGAAAATTATGTAGCCTAGTATAAAAGCCATACATGGTAAAAATTTTCAATTTTCTTAACAGTATCAAATTTAAGAAAATAAATTTCAAAACTCATTCGTCAGTAGGATTTAATCAAAATGATTAACAAGCATTGACACAAACTCCTTGAGGCTAAATAACTAACAAGTATGGACATATAGTCTAAAGGATAAATAACTAACAAGTATAGCTAGAAGCCACGAAACAAGCATAGGTACAAGACCTATGAACAACAATTGTGAGTACAACGCTTATGAATAACAAGTATGAGTGTGATTCTCATGAATAATAAGCTAACTAGATTTTAATTATGGTGCGTCAAGGGCTAATAGAACTATCGTCAACAACTAGTGTTTTGATTCAGTCTCACAATTTAAATCAACCATGCATGGGTCTATAAAATCAACGTACCATCTCTTTTCAACATGTTCTTGCATAAATAAACTTATCAATAATAATTTCCCCAAGCATGAATTAAAATTATTAATCCACTTCAAGAAAAAATCAATCATTATCAATATGTTAAATAATTAAAAGTACTCAATGAAAGAGTAATTCTATCTTTTCTTTTTAAGACTTAGAATAATGAAAGTATTCCTATTCATAATAATCAATATGGGGATTAAATTACAGTAACATAATTATGTGAATATATTTAATAATAATTTGAAAATAAGAAATCTATTAATATTTCTTTAAGGATGTCATATACTTACATGATAAGCTTTCAAGATAATGATTTGTTCTTTCTTTTTTGATAAAGATGATTTGTTCTTTCTAAACACCTCCCGAAAGCCCTTTAGCTATTCTATTGCCTTGACAAGGAGGGCAAACAACTTTATTTAACGATAAGTCTACTTCATATATCTCCAACATAAATTCATCCACCCAATGTCTTATTTAGAACTTAATAAAGTTTTCTCAATCCTTATTTGTCTTTAACCCACTAGCCATATTTAGAAGTTATCTTCTTGTTTCTTCATCTAACCTGCAATGATACCCTTGTCTCACTCGTTCATACCTTCTTCCCTTGGTAATCAATAAGTGATTTTCCATCAAAGCTCTTCAATAATTCTTCACAAGTACACTTTATTCAAAGCAAGCACAATTTCTTTTATCTTACACTTACAAGTATTGAAACATCCCTAGACTCCTTAAATTATTAAAGGAAACCGTTCAACAACTCACAACTCAATTGACACATTCATAGTCCAAGTCCATAACTATTTAAAAGAAAGCAACTCAATATTAAATTTTTCCAATGAAGAAAGAAATGTTGAATTTTATCAAGAGTTAATGTGCAATTTTGCTCCTAAACTATTCTTGGAAAAACAATATTGCCCTTAAATTATTTATTATAGCAATGTTGCTCCTAAGCTAATCAAATCGGAACAATGTTGTCTCCGTCGTTAAAGCATTCATTACTATAGTGGGATCCACTTTTCATGAGTTATGTTGTAATTTTGCCCTTAAATTATTTTTGCATGAGCAATGTTGCCCTCACAATTTAAAAAATCATAAAAATAAATAAAAAAATATTATTATAACAATTAAATAAAATAATATTAAATGTATATATAAAAATAAAATTATAATAATATTAAATAAAAATAATATTAAATGTATATATAAATAAATATAAAAAAAATTTATAGTATGCTAATAAAATGTCATAAATTAATAATATTATAAATTATAATTTTATAACTTGTTAAATATAAGTGGATCTTGGTTAAATTAGATATGAGTAGAGTCAAAAATATTTGCATTTGCACCTTTAAATATCGACCGAAGTTGTTGTCAATGACTTGATTTGGACCAAAAAAATATTTTTATGATTGAGATAGATTGACAAGAGTTAAGCTGTTATTAAGTCAAAAATTAAAGCTGAAGTGAGAACCAGAGTGATTTTTAGAAAAACTAAATGGTTTTAAATATAATATTAAAAAGGTTGAAATTTTTAAAAACTAGATCCTACTAAAAGCCAACTTTATTTTTAAACAATTCACATGTATAAAATAAGATTTGAGATTATTTTTTTTATAAAGATATCGATAGTTATAAATGCAAATGCAGATACTTTTGAGTCTATGCATATCTAATTTAATTAAGATTCACTTATATTTAACAAGTTATAAAATTACAATTTATAATTTTTTCTTATATTTATTTTATATATACATTTAATATTATTTTTATTTAATATTATTATAATCTTATTTTCATTTTTACATTCAATATTATTTTATTTAATATTATTATATTTTTATTTTCATTTAATTTTATGACTTTTAAGTTATGAGGGTAACATTGCTCCTCTAAGAATAGTTTAGGAGCAAAATTGTACCTTAACTTATGAAAAGTGAGTCGCACTAGCTACAATAATGGACGTTTTAATGATAAGGGCAACATTACTCCTCTAAGAATAATTTAAAGACAAAATTACACCTCAACCCTTTTATCAATTATATATATATTCAATCAATATTTGCACCTTCCTAATTTTCAACCCAAAGATTGAATAACCTAACTCCAAATTTCAGTCCTTAATACAATAAACATACTTGATTTCCCCATTCCAACCAAGTTTCTCTTTTACACATCTTAACAAACACTGATATGTGCATTAATTTGCAAACCATTCTATCAAGATTCTTATTCTTTAAATCTCTTACCCAAATACTTCCAATCATCAATGCTTAAATTTAAAATGCTTCCAAAAAGTCAATTCTCCATTAAGAAACACTTTAAGCTCAAGAGAACTAAATCTAAACTCAACTTTTCTACCTGCAGCAGCCAAAGTAATTGAAGAGAAATTACCTATTGAAAATAAGTTCCTTAAACATAGATTTAAGCTTGATTGGATTCTAACTTGTCCTATACCTCTCGAACTAGTTTTTTGGCAGAGTAGACATGTAGGTGTAATTAATGTTACATTATATTAGAGGTAGCTATAGCTTTAAAACATAGAACTATTCAAAAAGATGGGGCTCTCTTTACCACAAAAACCATGAGAATAATGTGCTTAACATTTTCCCATTACCTTGGTACTTTATTCCCACATGCTTTAAAACAGGCAATAATACTATCTCACATAATTTAGCATATAAAATTTAAAATACATTACTTTAATATTGCAGCTATATATTTTAATCATAGTTCCAACCAATGACTTGTGAACAGTACTTTAACTAGACCACTTAAAATTAAACAAACACAAACCGAAAATGAAAAATAAAGACCCATATTTTATTTGATACACATTACCAATATATTATAGAACCATATATGCTGGCTTATTCAAGTTGTTTTGGTCAAAGACATAGTGAGAAAGACAAACACAGTTTTTTCCTTCGCCATACGATCAGCTAATATGTATTGGTAACGATAAAAAAGATCATCCATTATAGCTTCTCCAAAGTGGCATATTAGTAGAGGTTCCATTGCAGCTCTTATAAGCTGTGCAACTTTGAATCCACTGTTATTATCATTGAGTTCTTCGCCACATGCAGCCTTCCAATTGACTTCAAATGCCTCCAAGCAATTCAAAGTGAATGAGCCTTCTTTTTCAATCTCTAGCTCCAATTCAGATGGGCAGGGATAGTAGAGAGGAAAGTTGAAAGAATCTATCTGATCTTCCTTTATGATTCCCTACACCAATCACCAAAATAAATTCTTCTATATACCATGATTTCCTTTTCTTTTTTTGGGCATATATTTTGAAAAAAAGTTATGTTTAAAAATAGGGTTATGTGACAATTTAACTCTTAAACTATATGCTCAAAAGTGTTTAGCATTCTAAATTTATTTTTAGTATAATGTTCCCCTTCAAATTTTAAAAATGATGCAATGTCGCCTTTATTAACAAAAGTTAACTTTAAATGTTAATTGAAAAGAAAATGACAAGAAAGAATCTCAAAACTTACAAAAGAGGATCAAACAATTTTTCTTGATACATTTTTGCAATTTTTTGGTCATTATATGTAATTTATTTAGTAATTTTTTGTCATTTTCTTTGTCATTTTCTATAATTTCTTGTCAACTTATGTTTAAACTAAACTTTTGTTAACAATAAAGATAAGATAGCACTGCACTACAAAATAATAATAATAATAACAACAACTTTTAGTGGTGACTTTTAATAGAAACAAAAAAATCACCACTAAAAGTTGACAATGTTGCCACCAAAAATAGATTTTTAGTAGTGACTTTTAAAAATTGCTGCCAAAGGCTCCTTTTAAAGGTGACTCTTAATTGCCATTGCTAAAAAGTATTTTTAGTGGCAATAGTTTATCACTGCCAAAAGTATTTTCACAAAAAATAATTAAAAAAGTAAAAATAATTTATGCAATTATTTTTAGTGATGACAGTTCATCACCACCAAAAGTATTTTCATAAAAATAATTAAAAATAAAAATAATTTATGTAATTATTTTTAGCTGTGACAGTTTGTTGTTACCAAAAGTTTTTTTATAAAAAATAATTAAAAACTTAAAAATAATTTATGTCATTATCTTTAGTGGTGATAGTTTGTCACCGTCAAAAGTATTTTCATAAAAATTAATGAAAAAATTAAAAATAATTTATATAATGTTACGCCAAAAGTATTTTCATAAAACATAAAAAATATTTTTATAAAAATTAATTTACATAATTACTTATAGTGGCAAAAATCTTTGCTAGTAAAAGTATTTATATATAGAATGAGAAATAAATTATATATAAGATTAATAATAATTACTTTTAAAAATAATGATCTTATTAAGCTAATATTTTAATAATGATCTTATTTTAATAATTACATTTAAAAAAATTTCTTAAGGTTTATTTTCTTAATAATGATCTTATTAGGCTAGTTTATATAATTAAGCTAAGTTATATATAAATTATAAATGAATTTTTTTTATAATTTTGTATGAATTATTTCAAAAAATATTCTTTAAATTATAATCAAGCTAAGTTATACATAGGTTTTTACTTACTTACATACATATACATAAATAGTAATGGAAGTTCAAGTTGTATAGATGTTGTAAAATGCAAATAGCATTGCAGATCACTTGACATATTGTGCACTTGATGCTCGATTTGGTATATACATGGTGTCTACTTAATCTGTTGAGCTTTACTTTTCACTACCACAGGATTATTTAAATAAAACACTCTATATTTGACAATTATTTAAAATAAGAAACAAATAAAATAGGTGGAGAATAATTGACAGTTTTTAACCGTCAAGTAAAGTTAGCTATAATATATGTCGCACTGTTACTTGACTGTTAAAAATTATCAAGTGTTAACAAAAATAAGCATCAAGGATGAGGTATTCTATGGTAGTGCTTTCTCATCTGATTCTTGTTCTTCAAATTACTCAATTTGTTGAATTTCTTAATGTTAAATTTGTTGCGAGTATTATTGGGTGAGAATTGTAAACTTGATTGTTTAATTTATGTTAATATTTGAATTGTGGATGAAATTATGTATAAATTTATTAAAATTTATCTATTTTAATTGTAAAGTTATTAGAAAGTATTTTCTATTATGTTGAGATCGATTCTATCAAAGAGACTTTAATGAAAATCCAAATTAATCTAAATCAAGTCAAGACAAGATTTTTTTTCTATTTTTATTATGAAATATTCACTTAAATTTTTAATTTAGATTTATTTTGTTTAGCATCTACTTTTAGTTTATCACATGTCCACCCATTTTCTATCTCAAAGATAATAAAGAATAATTGTACAAAATGACTATTAACAAAATTTATATGATTAAAATAAATTTTTTTATTAAAATATTTTTTAAGATAATTGAAAAATTATAGATAAAATTTATTTTTAATAAAAGAAGGGGAAGCATTTAACTTGGAAGAAGATAAAATTTTAATCATTTATTTATTAATTTTTGAGAAAAATATGGAAAAAAGTAAAAGATATGTATTTAGCGTAAAATAATATAATACATACTTATAAATAAATTATATACTTAATTATTTTCATTTAAAATAAAAATAAAATTTAAAAATTGGTTACAATGTTTATAACAAAATTATTTAATATTTAAAAATTATTTCATTTTAAGTTGATTTTCCTAATAATAATAATATTTGCTACAGAAAAAATAATTTTATTAACAAATATAACACACACACACACACATTCACGTAAATTATTTTATCATATTAATAAATGAAAATAAAAAATAATATATATGTATATATTTCTAATAATATATTATTTGATATATATGTATGTAGTTAAATAATATATATTTAATTTAGTATATGATAACTGCAAATATATTTCACTTCAACTGACAAAAAAGGAGGATTTAAGGCTTGAGAGGTAGAGTCATGGGCCCAAATCCTGACTTGGATATATTTTACAATGAATATATGAGGTATCCCATGGTGGCAATGTGGCATAAGTTATCAAGTGACGAGGCATGATGTAACGCACACATGGCGTGGTGACATAGGACATGCTGTGGTATGAGGTAAGGAGGTGCACATGTGGCAAGTGATGTGACACAACATATCAGTTGATGTGGTATGACGAGGCGCTAACATGACATGGGATAGCTCTTTTATTTTTTATTTTTGTAAAAAAAATGAATTTTGGCCAAAAGTCACCGTTAAATGTTTTTAACAACAACTTTTCACTACCAAAAGGTTACTACTAAAAGTCTAGTCGCTAATATTTTTGGTGATGACAAACATTGTTGCCACCAAAAGTATACCTTTAGCGGTAAACTTTTAGTAGTGAAATACTTTTGGCGGCAACTATGTTTGTTGCTGCCAAAAACTATCAGCAACCAAACTTTTGGTGGCAACTCTTTGACAGTAAAAAATCATTGCTAAAAACCTTTTAACGGTGACTTTTGAATTAAAAGTCGCTGCCAAAAGTCGTTTTTTTTGTAGTGCCATTTTCAGAAGTTAAAGAGAAGCATTACACAAAAATGAGTTTAGAATTTTAGACACTCCTGAACCATTAATTTAGAGGCTAAATTGTCCTTTAACCCAAAATATATTGTAAAATTAGTTAAAAAAAAAAAAGAATACATACGTACCTCTGAAACCATGTCTTTGAGTGCCATAGCTAAAAGTTCCCAACTGTAGTTAGATTCATGGCTTGATGGGTCACTACAGCTTCTTCCTACTAATGTAAGAACCATACGACCCCCTTCGACAAGTTCTTGAGCACGACATTTGAGAAACAATGAAAAATCTCTTTGAAATTGATCGCAGTATGCCTTTTGGACATCTAGAGGGCTTGTGCTTGCATTGTAAATATTGCCCTTATTGTTCTCTACACCCTCAGGAACCTAGACGAATGAGAACACAAAAAGTTAATTTGTTTAGAGGGGGTGAAATTTATGAATATTTATTTCAAGTGAATTACAATTTTAAAATAATATGTATTAATATAAAGATAAATTCATGAATATTGTCTTGTCGCTTATTATTGTAATCTCTATATAAATATTTGTATTAACCGATTGTTTCAATTAATGGAAAGCATTATTCAGTCATTGAGTGTTGCATCAGAATTTTCCCAAGTGTGATCTGTAGATCCTCTATGTCACAAACAACCACCACCAGAAGCAATTGGAACAATAAATGATTAAGAAATGCAACACCATGAAACCAAGAAGTAGTAGAAATTACAAAGGCCATAGAAAGTCGCCCCCAACACATCAAAAATGAAATCTTAAAAAGAAGACACAAACGCAATAAAATCCCGATGAAATCAAAAGACAAATTGGTTACCATGAGAACCTTAATTAGTTAATCAGATGGAAATCATAAGTAGAAATAGAAAATAGAAATCAGAAATCACAATCGTAAATCCTTGAAATCAAAATTAAAAATTGAAACAAGAGTTGAGGAGGCGACAAGTGGCTGAGAGGAGTGGGAAGAGGAGGAAGGAGAAGGTTACGCGACGAGCAGTTCATCACTAAATGAAATTTGGAATGTCTAGACTTATTTTAAACAGTTTAAATTTATAGTTTGAGATCTATAGTTTTTAGTCAATAATTTCATTTTTACGAAAACCTGATGGTTAGAAAATTGTTTTTATTTTGAATTATGTGCCCATTATAATTATTTCAAAAACGATGAAGCAGTTGGAACCATAAACGATGGAGCAATTCAAAACATGAAACCCATAAGTAGCAGAAATTACAGAGACCAGATATAAATACATCACAACACGCCCACCTGGCCCCACCCCCCCAAGGGGGCCCACGCGCGCATACATCAAAATTGAATCGTGATGGAATCGAAACGCAAGAATTGGCTGCAATGAGAACGCTAGCTAATCAAATATAGAAACAGCAAGCAGAAATTAAAAATAGAAATCAGAAATCACAAACAGCAAAAACCCTGAAATCAAAATAAAAAATTGAAACAAGAGTTGAGGAAGGTTTGGTTTCAATGCTTATCACCTGATTAGCATCATGGGGCTCATTAGAGTGATGAGATCTAGACCATCCATATTTCAATATAGACGGTCTAAATTTAAACTTTTTATTTTATATTTTTATTATATATATTAAAATAAAAATTACAGAAACTTTTAATATTAAATTAGACTATACATATTAAATCTGTATTATCCAGATTAGTGATGAATAGATTTATTAAAATTTTTTATAATTTTTTATTTTAATAAAGGGTAAATGAGCAAATATGATTTTGAACTCTTGCTCAAAAATATTCCTAGATCTTGAACTCTTAAAATATAAAAAATAATCCTGAAGTTTTAAATTTATTGTAAAATAAACATTGATCGTTAACTTTTTTAATATTGTTATTGTCCACATGGGTGCTGTAATAGTTAGGGTTATATTTGTAGGAAAATAAACCCTAAACAATATCTGCATAGACAGTAATGGTGTTAAAAAGTTAATAGTTAGGATTTATTTTGCTATAAATTCAAAAGTTTAAGATTTATTTTGCATATTTTAAGAGTTCAGGATCCAGGGTGATTTTTGAGCAATAGTTCAGGGTCCTATTTGCTAATTAATCCTATAATAAATATGAAATAAAAATATATATAAAACCTTTAAATATAGACAGTTCAAATCTTATCACCTTTGATGAGCACCCACAATGAGCATTGAAACTGATTCCCCTTATTAAGGAGGTGTCAAGTGGTTGAGATGGGCAGGAAGAGAAAGAAGGAGAATAAGGTCATGTGATGAGCATCGCAATGCTTACTGCTACGATGAGATTTGAATTTTCTAAATTTTCTTTAAACAATTCAAATTTAAAGTTTTAGATTTATATTTTCCAGTCCAAACGAGTAAAATTTTGTTCCATCATCAGTCGATACTTTAATTGTATCAAAAGGGGCATAAAATTATCTCAACTACACAGGAATTGATAATCCCACCCGCACCGGATAACTAATGAATTACCACATTTTAATTAATTTCCAAATATTGACAACAAATAAAATCTCAATAATGTTAACAGGCAGCAAAATATACTGAATAATCTTGCAAAGAGAAAGTGATTAAGTATGCACACCTGAGATATCCAATGAAGACTAGAAGAGGAATGAACAAAATCCACTGAATTAGTAGGAAGAATTCTGCCATAGAAAGAACCTGGAACCCCAGTGATGTAACATTGACCAATCCCACCTATCACTCGGCTACTCAGCTTTTGCTTGAAGCGTTCAAGAGACTTGAAGATGTTATTAAAATCGTTGCTTGGAAGGTCATTCAAGAAGATGGTGTATTCTGGAGATTCATGGTTTAGGTCTCTACGTATCTTCTCCACAATTTCAATCAGTTCCCCAATCACAAACAAAGTGTTTGCTCCAAAAGAACAGCCAAGGTCAGCAATTGATAGGGTTCGGGGGAGTCTTTCTTTGTAGAAGCAAGTTATTGCTTCCTCTCTTATAGGTTTTGTTAAAGTAATCGCCTTTTGCTGCACATCAATTATGTAGGTGTGAATATGAATGTGTGTGTGTGTGTGTGTGTACACAAACAATAAACGACTAACTATCTCTTTCATCATTCACCTCCTCCATTGGAAGGGGGGATGATCAAAGATGTAAGAATTTCCTTCTAAGCTATGAGAGTACCTAGCTAAAAAGTCAACATAGATAATTATGTCACAACAGAAATGATACAAATGTAGAGACCAATACCTTTGTGATAAAGTAAATAAGCCTCTTCAATGATATCATTGAAAGGATGAGACAACTAATGTTCTCTAGCAATGAGGTTGACAGGTTCAGTGCAATGAGGTTGACAGCTTCAATAAGGAACAATTGAGAGCTTGCAGCTATAACCTCTAAACCATTCCCCATTTTGGTGCCAAATGATGCCACCACATCCATTATTTTAAAGCATGCCATATATACTTGTTGCAGTCTTGAATCCTGATCTGTTGTGAATACTGTACGTACAGACTTGCTTTTTCATATTATACTATATTATAGCGATTGATTTAAATCTAACATCCCAATTTAAGATATCACTAAATCATGAGATATCATTAAGGATAATAAAATATCATGAGTATCACCTGAATCTACTGTTTGTATCTAAGTTTGGGCATTTTCTCAATCTAAATTAAATAATAAATAAACAGCCAGAGTGGGTTATAATTGAAGGCTTATAGACAAAATTAATGTACGGTTAATTGAAGAAACATAGTCATGACACTTTAGAAAGGTTTCCTCGCTATAGTCACGAGGCCTGCATATGCTAATCAAATAAGATGAGAGGCACTTTACAAAGGCGAGAGGTAACCTCAAGTGTTCCGCTACATTTCTCTGGGAATTCTATATAAAGGTATGAGTTTATAGTTTTCCCAACATCTTGTACATTCATGGAGACATGCAAACAGTTGAAAGCCTCAAGAGGATTTGAAGATAGGTATATACCTGTAATAAAGAATTATTAGCATAACTTGCTTCTCCTATGCCTTCATTCATATGCAACATTGAAACCACGCTCATTCTCAGAGTTATGCTTCTATAACTATGTTCCTCTCAGTCACTCGTAGAATCAATTTTTTATTGTGGCTAGACCCCAACTACAGTAGATATATTTATATAGGCGGATTGATGATTGGCACTCCTAAGAGCGTGTGGCAATCGTTACTTACCATTGTAAATGTGGGCCCTACGGTCCTATTACGACCGAGAAATACATAAATGACCGAAACTTCCGGAGAGATTTATACAGGTGAGTGGCTCATTCGTTACTTCCCATTGCAAATAACCACTGGAATGTGAATCCCGAATTTGAAGATAAAATAAATATATGATACTAAACAAAAAATATTAAACCGCTAAATCAAATCTTAATAAACCCTAAATCAAATCAAATATAATTTCTATCACTAGATCAATCATTGAACCTTTTGAGGCAACAGTTTAAGGGCCAGTGGTTTAATTAGGAATTAATACATAATTAACATCATATATTTCAATTTAAATAAACAAAAATATTCATATTAATTAACTATGGAAAACAATAAGGGTCAAACAAAAAATTTCTTACTTTTCAAATAAATAAAAAATTTATCCATAAAAACTTATACATGTCTTATACAAATTTTAAATATAAGTTTCTAGAAATAATAAAATATAACAACATTTAAAATCTTAAATAAGGAATTTAGATTTGATTTAGGATTCAATATTTAGAAGAAGAAAGGGAAAAAAGAAAATTAAAAAAAAAATATAAAGGTAACTTGAGTCAACCCATTAACCAGCCAGGTGAATGAATCTCTGCTGATCAGCTCATCAACCAGATCAGCTTGTTGACTAGTTTGGTCTGGTTTGGTTTGGTGTTTTTTTTTTTTTCCCCTCCCTTTTTAACCAAGCGTACATGGAGGATGGTTCACAGGATAACATTAATTGCCATTTTGTCAGTTTAGCAAAGAAAGGCGTAAAATGAATAAAATTGTCACGGAAGAATCATTATTAAAGGAAGACAAAGCATATTTATTTCTAAATTTTGGCGGGGGGATGACATTTTACCTTTTAAAAATAAATTAAAGAAAGAAAAGCATATTAATTTATAATTTATTTCTAAATTTATATCTTGTGCTTTATTCCAAATCATACATTGTTACACCAAAAAAAAAGGCATCTAGACATTACACATTATTACAACATTACTTTATCACCTTAGATCAATTAAAATCAAGCCCACACACAATCTCGTAAACAAGAAAAACGAACACAAACTGAGATAATGCATTCGATACACATAACTAATGTATCGTAGAAAGATACATATAAGTTAGGTTCAAGTTGTTTTGGTTAAATATCCGACAAGACTGGGGACCACAGTATTTTACTTGGTCACACGGTCAGCTAATATGTACTGGCAACAATTAATGAAAATTAAATTTCTTCAATAATAGCTTCTCTGAAGTGGCTTACAAGTAAAAGTTCCATTACAGCTCTTACAGTGTGCCATTTGGTATCCACTGTTATTATCATTGAGTTGTTCACCACAAGCAGACTGCAATAGTGTTCATATCAATATTTGCCAAATTTCATGAAGTTAATTTCTTAGGAATTATTATTTTTTGGAATTATTGAACTTACCATTGCTTGTCTCTCTATTTAATTGTAAGGAAGTTCATGTTTTTTTTTTAAACAATATAGCGCTTTTAATTTGAAAGACATAAATACCTTTTTTAATCATAATGTTAAAAATATTATGTTTAACACTAATAGGAAATTTTAGTTTTATTAATAATAAATGTTAGCTTTAGTGGGATGGGCTATACCCGTTTAAGCACAAAATCTTGTTCAAGTCTCAATAGGGTTTGAGGTAGTCTTTCTTTGTAGAAGCAAGCTATTGTTTCGTCTCTTATAGGTTTAGTTAAAGTAATCTCCTTTTGCAGCACATCAATTATGTAGGTATAAATATTATATATATATATATATAATATTTTTTTAATTATATACCTGTGTTAAGGAATTATTAGAATAATTTGTTTTCCGGTTCCTCCTTTCATGCGCAACAGTAGAGCCACATCCATTCTCAGATTTATGCTTTTACATCAATGTTCCTCTCGCATTAATATATGGACCAGTCCTATCCCCTGCTGTATTAAAATAAGGGGCTGCGTGCAGGCTCCACTGCCACATGCAACTTGACTCTTATCTATTGATCTCTCTTTCCATTATCTCACACATCTCGGCCAACTACTTTCCTTTTTTGGTCTTTTTTTATAGCCATACATTGAACTGACAGGACTTTAATAGGCATGGAAGCTCTAATATAAATGATTGCATCTTTCTAAATAATTTTTCTAATGAATTTTTTTTTCCCATGCAAACTCTAATTTGAAAGAAATATTCAGAGGCAAACATATTCATACTTGAATACAAATATATATATAACCTCATACGAGAAGTTTTCCATTCTTTCAAACTTGTTATTCTATAGCACTCTTGACTCAACCATTATGGACTGTCTTCAATTCCCGAATCATGGCCTCATCCTTAAGACAAAACACCAATATCATCAACATATTCCAGTAGCGTTTATGTCCGATTCTTCTAAGAAATTTTCCTTTTAAATACCAATGCTTCAAATGGTTAACCTTTGTCTCTTCAAAACATTTTTCATTCATTTAATTGCTTAGCAACCAACCTTTCAATCTCTTATTCTCATTAGGATCACTATTCATATAGCAATTATGTCTAGTGTGGTCATTAGTTGTGGCACTAATCCACCCTGTTGATTATAAATGCAACACTGTTGTTGAATGTAACTGTAAAGCTCCCCTATAATTTCTCATTTTCTTGACTTCCTTATTACAACGTCACCTTCCAACGGTAAATTATATCAACCAATGTAGTATTAAAATTTCTCATTGTTAGTTATATATGTGCTTACTTAGCAATCATTTTACCCTGTTAATTTACTAATTTCAGTTGTAAATTACAAAACAACAACTGATATCAAATCTTGAATAATTATTAAAAGGTCAATTCATGTAATTTACAATTCATATTGATAAACTAATAAGTGAAGTAAAAAAATTAATAACTAATAATTTTACATTTCGAACAAAATTAACAAGTGAATGGTGCTTTTATCATTTCACCATTGATTATTTCCACTTCAGTACTCTTAGACTCAATTGAAATTTCAGATTTTTGGAAGCCACTAAGAATTAAGTTACATCCCTGGTCTTTAATTGAAATTATTCCCCCTTTAAAACATTGTATTGTTTGAAAGATAGGGCCCACTTTATCACAGTCGATGGTGAATATATATATATATATATATATATATTTTTAAATAGAAGCTGAAGTTATATGTTAAAACACTCAAACATGAGTACAACCAAAAATAAGAGACAATAACTATCTCTTTCATCGTTCACCTCCTCTTGCAAAAAAGGAGGGAGTGATCAAAGATGCAAAAATTTCCTTCTAAGATTAGAATTGAAGAATGATTAATTTTCCGGTTTGAGGTTGCTATATAGGAGGCTAGGCTAAAAATTGTGATTAGAGAGTAGATTTTAATTAAGATTTTCTCAATGAAAATTAATATAGATTTTAATTTTGACTATTTACTAGTTATTTTTCTTTTAACTACAGAGTGTATTGTGGTGTGCGTAAAAAAAATTTTTGGGACTTTGAATTGTCAATTTTTGGGGGTAGCTATTGCTACATTGTTATGTACCAGGTGAGTTTCACACGAGTAGTGGATTGAGGCTTGAATATTGTTGGGTGGAGTTTTTGATTATGGGGCAACTTTTTAGGACTATTTAAAGGTGGATTTTTGAGGTATGGTATTGTTAAAGTTTAAGGGATCCTTTTAGGTAGCTTTCATTTTTTTGGTTTTTCGGTTCTTTAGCTTTTCTTTGTGCTCAATGGCTTTTGTTTTCTGTATTGTGTGCTTTTGCAAGATAATGGCTCATAAGAAAAGAATTCGAACCCATCATCCTCTTAAACCCACTCTTGATCAAATTAAGTCCCTCACCTCTTCTAGGAGATTAGTTTAGGAAAAAGAATTTTCATTCACTAAAAATTATGCTTTTTACAATATCACCAAAAAATTCCATAAATGTGGAGGTTTGATGCAACCTAGGTCAAACGGCATCCTTAACTTTGTTCAAGAATTCTATTCTTTCGCTGCCGCCCACTCCAAACTTAACTGTCCAGTTAGAGGTATTAGAGTTAGGGTCACTAATGAGGACATCCAAGAACACTTTAACTTGCTTGTTATTGAAAACTGTCATCATCAATACCTTAGGACTCATACCAATCAAATCCCTCTTGCTCAATCACAAAAACTTTAGACGAGAGGGGAATCAAGAGTTGGGGTACTACAAGGGGTCAAGAGATTTATCTTAATAGGACATACTTGACAGTTGAAGCTAAAATTTAGCTTCATTTCATTAACCATAATATCTAACCTAAGACCTATTTCACTGACATTAGGAGGGACACTCCCTTACTCATTTACCTCTTGATGACTGCACAACCTATCAATCTTGTTGCTATAATTTATGACTCCATTCACGCTTCCTTCGACTGCTCATCTACTTGTTTATTCTTCCCTCATTTCATTTCCCAACTCTATGCATCTAAATGTGTACAAAAAACTTCTTCTGACATCACTTTCAAGCCTGAAATACCTTTTGTTTATATGAGCATAAAGAAATATATCATTCAAGGCGGTGGGGATGTTGGTGAGGAAGTTCAAATGGACATTGAGGGTGATAATGTGGACCAAGCTGAACCTAATTACTCCCTCAAAGGTGTCTAGAAGTGCTTAGATAGGCTGACATTTGATGTGAGATGCCTTTAAGTTGGCCAGTCCAAGATGGATCGTATTTGTTGCATCTCGTTCTTGTAAATAGTCTATTGATGGAATTTTGACTTGTGCTGGCTACTAATGGCTTGATTGAACATTTTTTCTAACTTATGCACATATTTTAAATATAATGATTCCTGTTTCTAATTTATCTGACTTA